ACGGTCTCTCCACGAGCCTGTAAACATCCCTCCAGAGGCACAGTTCAACCATTCTTTTCTCTCAGTATCAAAGAATTTAAGGGCTAAAATAGTTCACTTTTCCACAGACGATAAGCTAAACTATGAGGTCGCTGAAAGGCCGTGGCAGAAAAAGGTCCAAAACAGGGAGGACGAAGCGGTTTTCAGGATAAGAGCTGGAGACAAGAGCTGGAGCTAGTGGGAACTGCAGGATTAAAAGATGTCTGACATTTATGGGTCAGTGAAAGCATCACATCTCTGGAACTGTTTGCCTCTGGAGATTAATCACAGACTGTTGTCCGACTTTTCTCCACAAGATTGAAAAAATGGCTCAAAGACAATCAAGAGTGTGAGCACTAAACTGGCTTGTACTTTACATTTCTTTTTTTTCTTTTTTTTTGTTTTAACTTCTCTTGTTTCTTATGCATCTGTGTGTTGTCTCTCCCCCTTAATGCCAACACCTTTTAAAAGCCTAACCAGGGACGAAGGTTGAAAATTAGCCCATGGCTAAAAGCCATATGTACTTGGACATCGGCCACCTGTTTGGTTGCAATGTTTAATAGTACTGTCCCTGTCAAATAAACAAATAAATAAAATAAAACCAGGTGGGACGACAGGACAGGAGGAACCAGAACAAAAGCACTGTGTTCCCCAGCAGGGCCAGAATCCACCAATCAGGGCAGGGTGGCAACGCGGTTGCCTGGCAACCAGAGCACTCCCTGCACAGCCGATAGCTCTGGCTCTACCCCGGATCACCTTCCAGCCCAAACACACGAGTGGCTCACCTTCATTTGCATCCGGTTTGGAGTTCTTGATATAGGCGGAGAACTTGGCAAAGATGTCCATGCCGGCCGTGTTGGATTCGGGGTGCCGAGCGCCCAGTTTAATAAACCTGGGGAGGACAGAAACAACTCGTCAAATATCTATCCAGATACACAAATCTATTTATTGCCCTGAGTAGAACAGCTCTAAACTCATTCACTAGGATATTATCAGGGACTGATGCATTACATTTGGTGTTTAGGTGTGGAAATTAGGCCGGTCCAGATCCGATATTTGGATCAGAAAATGCTGATCCAGACTCCAGATTCAGTTTTTGTTTTGTTTTTTATTGTAAACATCTGATTCTGGTTCCCGGTTGATGGAACAGGTAATTATATATACACAATAGGATCTGGATCGGATCGGCCGGCAGGAGAAAATGCAGATCCAGACTCCGGATCCAGTTTTTTATTTAAAGTCTGATCCCACACGATCATTAGCATTAGCATTAGCATCTATAACCCACAGGTCTGTGTCCTAACATTTTTTACTTTGTCGTAGTTACTTTCTTGGACTCTACAATTTTACTGTTGCCAGTCACAATTATTTTTTAACGTAAATTACATCTAACAACTTCTAACAAACTGGGGAAATGGACTTGCATGGAAAAGCAAAAACAATATTAAAATAAAAATGTCCACCAGGCAGTTTTGAAGTAAAGTGTGAGAGATATAATAATCCTTAAACTAGGCTGGTCCCAATCCGATATCAGGATCCGATTGGCCGGCAGGAGAAAATGCCGATCCAGACTCCAGACTCCAGATCCAGTTTTTTATTTCAAGTCCGATCCCACACGAGCATTAGCATTAGCATTAGCATCTGTAACCCACCGGTCTGTGTCCTAACCATTAAGTTGTTATCAGAGTAAATCCCTGTTCAACATGAGTCTGACAACTAAGTAAGTAGATAAATAACTTTAAACTTTACTACAGGCTCTGATAGGCCGGGATCGGGATAAAAAATCTGGATCGGGACATCCCTAATAAAAACATTAAAAGCCTTATAATTTCCACATATTTGAGGCTTCACAGAGTTCAGACATTTCCAGAATCTCAACATTTAACTTTACAGTTTATACAGTCGTGGTACATTTCTATGAGCTCCTTTTGGATATTATTTCATTATGTTTTTAGATTGTTTTTTTGAAGAAGTATGAAATAGTATAAAGTCAGAGTATAGTATTGTTCAGTTGAGATTGATGATTGACCTTGTTTCTTGTTCTTCCTTTGTTTTCTTTTTTGTCACATAAGACAAATCAAATTTTTTTTTCTTTTTTTGATCCATAGTTGAGAAAAAGGGGCAGATATTATAAGATTATTTTCTTCTTTCTGCTACCTTTCATTTCATTTTTTTAATTAATTTTTTCTTTGTATTGAATGAAATGAATAATTTTTCTTTGTATTGAATGAAATGAATAAATAAATAAATAAATTAAATAAATTAAAAAAATGTTCAGTCCTCCAACTCAGATCCTTTCGGTTTGGTTGATTTTCAAAGGTTAACTTTCGTAATGTGTGTTCAGGTTTTGTCTGGATAATCTCTCTGAGATGTCTGATCTGATCTGCACCAGAAAGTGCTCACTTGGGTGGGCAGAGGACGTCCTCCAGGAACTCTTCGATCTTGTTGACGTCGGTTTTGACCTCCCCGTTGAAGGTGACGAAGGGGGGGTGCGTGCCGGGGGCCAGATTCTGGAGGTCCGCCGGCTTCCTGTTCAAGCCAAAAGATCCACAAATCAGTCTGTCTGAGTGTGTTTGTGTCTGCTTTTCTCCACGGCCTTCAAAGCCGCACATTCTGTACCAGATGGCCGGCAGCTGACAGAGACACGCAAACACAAATGAGCAACTGTTGAATGAGGAGTGTGAACACAACCGGGCGGTTTAACGCACACAAACAGGACCGGGAAGCCTCTTAATAGAAAATAGGAGAATGAAAACATCACATGCTGTAGACAGAAGCTGCGTAAAAACACACAGGGATGGAAACGGCCATGTAAGGGCACCGAAAAGAAACAAAAAGGGAAATGACTTCAACCCTTTGGCATGTGGAGGAAAGCGAGTGCCTTGAGACCAGCCTGGACCCAAAAACAGGTTTAATACCACTCAGCACTCTTCTGTAAAAAAGCCATAAATAAAGCAAACACAAAAGCTGTAACAAGGAAGTGGATAAAACTAGAAAGACCTACAGTGGACGAACGGTTTGACATCATCTAGATCTTTAAGATGGAAAGAATTACTTTTGTTTTAAGATTAAAAAGGGATCTGTTTATGAAAAGATGGGAAATATCTCACTCCGATCCGTCCAACCTTTAAATAGCTCTTGTATCAATTTCCTGTTTCTCTTATTTTCTATTGACTTTCATTTTCAACCCTTATGCATCGGTAAATAATTTACTTGATTTTCCCATTACATAACAGAAGTGCACCCCAGCAGTTTTGGTTTTAGCCAAAGGAGTTATGTTTGTTATTTTTGTACGTTATTAATGTATTTTTTGTGTGTGTTAGGGAGAACGATCCATCCCGATCTGTTTATCCTGTGGAATTAAGGATGTCTAGCTAGATAAGTAATGATGTAATGTTGTAATGAACAGATAGTGGGAGATGACTAATGAAAATGACAATAAAACAGAATAAAAACAAAAAGCAAACACAAGCCTACATTTTTCCAACAGGCTCTCAGTAATAATCGCAGAATGAGAAGTGCTATAATTAGCTTTCCCTCGAGGAAACAAAGATACAAATGTGTGGTGGGAGTCCTGGAATAAACACCAAATTCAATGCAAATGTATCCAAACTTTTGCATTCACAGCAAAAGAGCCAACCAGTCACAGCTTCCCTCCGCTGGGTTATGCAAGAAAGTAATTAACCAGACGGCCTCTTGTTTTCCGCCTGTTCCAGAGGAGGAGACGCCCAGTAATGGCCCTGTTGCTACACAGTCTGACTCACTCAGGAGGAAGGCCACAGAAGCCAGACGTCCATCTGAGCTCTGGATGTGGCTGAAAATATTTGGATGAATCACAGACAAAAATCCCGGTTGGTTTCCGGCCCATTTCTCTGCAACCTGAGGGAAGAATCCAGCCTCTGTACAACGCCTCAATGGGGGCGAGGAGGTGACACAGGACAGGGGGAAGAGATATCACATACACTGTACTTATTCTGTATTTTCTGTATTTCTATTTATTTATTTGTATTTTTTTGCTTAATTTAATTCTAACTTGATACTTTTTGCCCTTTAAGCTGCTGGTAACCTTAATTTCCTGAGGGAGTCTTCCCAAGGGATCAATAAAGTACTGTCTAAGTCTCTAAGTCTAAGTCTAAGTAAAAAAAAGATGCTGCCAACCGAGATCTGTCAGGAAGTCAGTAGAAACTACAGCCTTAAAATAGCTTTTGGAGTCGGAGTGTTTATTTTTCTACACTGTTCTCCGCCTTGGGAAGGGGTCATGGGAAAACCAAATAATCAGTGGGGAGGCAGCGAGCGTGTCAGAGGTGGAGCCGGATCAAAGAGGCAGAAAACTTTATGAAAACGCCCCGGAAGGCAGCGGGAAGCCCCTCGAATACGGGGCAGAGGGCTGGGTTTGGAGGGCCAGAGGGGGGGGGAATAGGACTTGCCTTTTCAGGTCCACGGTGGTGACGTTGAAGACGACTCCTTTCAGCCACAGAATCATGAAGAGCCTCTGGGAGAAGGGGCAGTTCCCGATGCTCTCCCC